AGTCTCACGGCGTCGTGCAGCGGGGTATCTCCTTCCTAGAGAAGCAGAGTGAACACGCTGAAGGGGGTCCTGAGGAAGAGGTGGGTACGTGGGTACCAGCTTGGGGAATAATTCCAAATCAACAAGGACTAAACTCTGACTACTCACTCGGTCTTTGGCGTTGAGGTCCGCCTCGCAGGGAATGAGATGCTCCGCGCACTCATAGTGGCCCGTCCTCACCGCCACGTGCAGCGTGTGCTGAGCAACTGGGAGATTGAAGAACGAGGTGGATTTGCTGGGTGTGAGGACCGGATTGTCCCAGACCCCGAGGCATGTAGGGAGGGGGCGGGGGAGTGGCCACTATGGTACCCCACACACAGAATGGGCTCTCAGCAGATGGCAAAGGTGGGAGGAGGTGGGAAATGAGGAATAGAAAGGGGAGGGGGAGAGGGAGAAGGAGAGGAAGAACAGGGAGAGAGGAGGAGGAGGAGGAGAGAGGAAGAAGGGGGGGGGGGGCGCAGGGCTGCAAGAGGAGAAATACCTTATCCCGGGCACTGATTTTTGCTCCTTTATTCAGCAACAATTTTAAGACATCCACGTTTCCTCCACGGCTTGCCCAGTGGATGGCTGTAGATTCAAGCTATACCCGGAAGGTAAAAGGACATGACTTAAGGTAAAGAAGAATCTGGTCAGAGGAATTAGTGCGGACTTGGTGTCTAAGGCCCAGGAACTCCTGCTTTGCTGGTACATCTGGTAGCAGTGGTTGTCCCCGTCTAGATCCCCAATTCCAACTATTGGAGTTGAAGGCTCTTTGCCAAATGTTTCAGCTAAACTCTTACGTGTGTGAACGGGAGTATATGCATGCATATGTGTGCATCTGTCATGTGCATCGTTAGGAGGCTCTTAATCTAATAAATATGTATTAAGAAGAATAAGAGCTACAACTTGATGAGAATTTCCTCGTGCCAACATGTTGCTAGCCACCCTCAACTTGGTTGTCCTCCTGGCAACATTATGAGTGAGGTAGGTGGTACTGTGATAAAATCAAGGCTCCACAGTAGTCATGTTTGCTCCCCAAGGACACACAGCTAGTGAATGGCAGGATAGATATGCAAACCCACTTTTAATCACTTTTGCCAAATACGAATACTCAAAAGTTCTAGAAAAAGTGTACTTCAACATTCTGACAGAATAAAAGTGGTCCCTTCCAAAAGATTTTAACTTGCATCTGACACCTCTTCCTGTGCCCCTGTTATTTCTTATCTCCTGCCCGTTCTCATTTCTCCTTTGTGCTAGCATAGCTTCTGCACCTCGCCCGTCATCCCTTGTGGTCTGCAGGCTGCACTTACTCAGAGAGGGCCCCCTTCGCTGCTCTGGGTGGTTTGTCTCTGGCCTGTCAAATCCCACACTCATGAATTTTAGCGTCTTTCCATGCTAACTTTGTTTTTTGTTTCTTTAATTGTTTTTCTGTGTGTCTTTTGGGTTCAGTTTTGGCCAGATCCTTTGTACTCTTCATGTACCCTTTCCGCTTTGCTCTAGAGTCAAATTGAGCTGCATTTAAATAAATAAAGCATTTCCCAGCTCAATTTCAGTTCATAAAATACGCTGTATACTGGTCTTTGTAGAAATCACAGTGTTGAATTATTGAGGTCTGAAAAGCAGCTGCTTTCCATAGATGCAATTCATTTAGTATGCAGTCTAGCCCCAAATCACGTCTACGGCAGTCAGCATCTATCATATAAGGCATGCAGCGAGAGAATTCTGATTCATTGCTGGCAGCCCAGGGGCCTCGAGCAGACTGCCGTGTATAATGGAAGGGCGGGGATGTTGAAAGGCGAGTGTCGACTGTATTACTTCTCAGTAATGCTACTGACTTGATAATGACCCAGCTCTCTGATGAGGATATTGAATTCTGCTCAACAGCTTTCACTTCCTCCTTTTCCCTGGAACACTTCTCTCCTTTTCAGTATGTATAGAAAATACTTTCCACATGACCTAGTCCCATCTCTTGTGTGGAGAAATAAGCTTTTGCCTAGCTCTCTCAGATCAATTTCCAGTCCAATCAGCCCAGTGTTTCATTTTAGCTTTTCTCAAGCTTCATATAGTCTGTACATTTTGGCTTATTTCCAAACGAAGAAATATATTCACCATATCACGGAATTCGATCTGTGCTCCAGCTTCCAATAACTTCTCCACAATTGCCAGGTGTCCTTCCAAGCATGCTCTATGCAGAGCTGTCCGTTTATACTGTCAGAATAGAGATTAAAAGAGAGAAATGCATATAAAAATGTGCATAAATCCTTTCTATTAGGTCTGAATCTGGGGACTCTGATGACTTAATTGATAGAAACTGGAGTGCTTCTTTATGAACTAGAAATGTTAAATTCACTAAAATTGCAGAACTAGAACAATTATCCTGCAACTGAGATTTGTGCTTCCTGCAAAGTACATTTCTAAGTACCTAGAAGTCTATCTACATAGGGGGATGTGACGTCTTGCAGGTTCAAGATGACCTAAATGCTGATTTCCCTCTATTGTATTTTGTGCCTTCATTGTTGTGTGATATTTATCATGCAGATCAGACAGTTTTCTTTCATCTGGGACTGTTGGTAAGTTAAACATCAAAAAGTATTCCATTCATCTTAAGAAAATAGGAGCACTCATTTTTAGTTCAACTTCAGAAATGATTCCCCATTTACATTTCTGAATACAAAAAGGATTAGTGATTTCTGGTAAATCGGCTTCATACAAATAGGTGAATTAGACTTATTAAAGCTGCAACAACTTTAGGCATGATTTCACTCCAGTGCCCTCCTTACAGATAAGGAAACTGAGATTGGGGAATGCAAATCAAGTAGCGAAGCAGAGATAGAGCTGGCACGTGAGCACTAGTCTCTGAATTTCCCACCTAGAGCTGATGTGTTTGGGTCCAATCAGAGATGATGCTAATAATATACAGGGTATCCCCCCAAATGCATAGACACTTTGAGTAATTATTAACTCCAATGGGTTAAATCTGAAAAGAAAGAAACATCAATTGAGCTATCGGGAAAAAGTGTATATACATTTTTGGGGGGACACTCTATTTCTGCAAAGGTAGTTTGTTGGCCTGGCCTTATTCAACGCCTATCCCAAGGATCTAAGAAGTTAAAGGCGAATAAAAAATCAGCCAGAAATATATGAGTCCAAAACAATTATTCAATCAATAGCACTAATCCAGGATTTTGGGGAAGGGGTTTTCTTTTGGACCACTGTACTCTTCTGTTATGCTGCTGACATATGTGGCAACAGCTGGGGAAAGCTGTTTTCAGGTGGATTGATTTTTGGCACCATGTTAGCAAGGCTGCAGTAAAGCAGAAGAAACACAAAATTAATGAGCTGGGTTTTGCAGTGCTTTTTGTAAGCCTTACCTCATCACAGGCATCTGGATTGTTCTTGTCTGACAAGAATTTTTCTACTACTGGCAGTTTATTCTCCAGGGCAGCCTTCAGAAACCGAGGCACATCCACAGGTTCTGTCTAAAGCCAAAATAGGGTGAGAGTTACCCGTGAGCATCCCAACATTCAATCAAACCCTCCACAGGTTTATTCCCCCGTAGCACACACGCCAGACGTGTGAGACTATAAAGCCTAAAGCCCTTACGATGATTTCAGGTTCAGGTTCCTTCACAACCGGAACTTTAGTTTTCCTGTATTTTTTCTTTTTCTTCAGTTGAATGATAACTTCAAGGTCTTCTAAATTTTCAAGCTTTGATCTTTGTTCTAGTTTTTTCTTCTTGAGCTAAAAAAGAAAACCGTGTTTCAAAATATGTTGAGTTCTACTGACAAGCATTCTGGTTGTGTCTAAACAAAACCTGCAAGGTCTGAAATAAGTATGTATACTGCATGAGCAAAAGAATAGAAAAAATAAGTCTGATTTCAGTTTAGTCATTTCTTATTCGAGGATTTGGGGGTCTGATTTTTTAATTAATTGTCTTCATCTTCACTTATCTTGCATGTAGCATCAGCTTTTGACTAATTGGAGATAGGATCTAGTCTCTAAGTGATGATTTTGTAATTACTGCCATAAACAAACCCCAGATTTCTGTCAAATTTTTTCATCATATTCAAGAATTTTTTTTTACCCAAAATAATCTAATAATGAGTGCTGAGGTTTGAAATATCAATGCCAATCTCTTTCAGGTGGCCCAGTAAGCAGGGCTCATGAAACAGACTGTCCGAGGACTACAGCTAACTAATGCATGTTTTATCTGTCATTAGTAAGTAATGAAAATTCACCCAGGAACACAGATCTTAGCAACACAGATAGTAGACACAGTCAAAGAATGATCCTTAGACCACAAACCATGTTATTGAAAGGGGTCTCTCTTTCTTGGGATAAACTAGATGCATGTGACATCAGAAATTCACTGGACACATTTCTCTTTCCAAGTCTTTCAATCAGAACATGGTCAAAGAACCTTCGATCATTGATTCAGAGTCTGGAGGACATAGTCTCGCCAAAGAATTCTTTCCCACAACGTATCCCATAGAAGTTGTCTCTTTACAGGGGTTCATATTTGGTATGAAACATCTTTGGGATGGTGGCATTTATTTTATTTCTCTCTTTGCTTCTTCCTGCTTGGCACCTCCTTTTCCCTACGCTATCCCTAACCTCCCACTAGTGGATCCCATGGAGGGTTCTTACCTCTGCCTCTCTCTGTTTCTCAATTTTCCACTGCTGCTCCGCAAGGCTCACTGAGTGGGCCGGAAGTGTTCTCAGGTCCTCGTGCTTCTCCAAAGTAACAGCAGCTTCATACTCTCCATCTGTGAAATCCTCAGGGAGGAACTCCCCAGTGTCCCCACCGCCATTCTTCTTCCCTGTGACCTACGAGGGAAGAAGATGGCAGGTCAGAGTAGCAGGGCTTGTCCTGGGGTCGTCCTCTGCGGAGGATGCTGCAGGAGGCCCCTGGTCCTCCTCCCTGGCAACAGCCGCCCCCGTGCAGCTGTCAGATCTCAGGTGTGACCCGTTGCTGCGATGTTCCAGCACTACCTTCAGGTACTTGTCCTGCTGTCTTAGTTAAATCAAGGTTTAGATTAGATTGATATGCTGAAATACACTTAATCCACTTAGTCATATTTCTCCTAGGAAAATCACAACCACCCCCTCTGAATATTTAAAATTCCTTCATTTTATTACTTTTGATAACTCTTGGCCTTGAGTTGAAAAGTTTTCTGACACATGTTCTTGCCATAGAGCTTCTTCCCTAAGGCATTTTGATAATGACATGTGAGTGTACACTTTAGTAATAAAACCCAAAAGGAAAAGGTAATAAATAGGAAACATGTAGAAAAGTCATTGCTCCCAGCTCCATTTTTCCAGTGTCACTCATTTTATCACATAAACCAACCATTTTCCATATATGACATTCTCACTGTGCATTCTGTACCTGTGCATTATGCCTGAAAGAAAAAGGACATTTTCATTTTCAAATTAAAACCAAACCAGTTTTCATTGCATAAAAATAACATGTCTTACGTACCAGCTCTTCCACTTTCAGCATCATCATGTTGGCCTAAAGTTCGTTTGTGTGTTTTTCTCCTGCGGAATGAATCCCTTCAGTTGGCCCTGCTGGACTCCTCCACACGGGGCAGCTTATATAGTCAGGGCTGGGTGAGATAATCTTCCAACCTGGGAACCCAAGTAACACCCCCGCCCCCACCAGTGGCCAGCTCAGAGGCAGGTGAATTTTCGTTCCAGACTCAGTGTCTGGGAAGCAGAAGAGGGAGGAGATGACAGGCAACCCCACTGAATATGTGAATCAAGAGGAAATGTGAGAGGGCCATTCCTTTGGCAGTGACCACACCGCTCAGCAATGCCAGTCATCCTATTTATCGGGAAGCCAGGGGACAGCTGCCTGTTGATATTGCACCACAACACTGCTCTTTTGCCTTCTTTGTCAGCTTTCATATGACTAACTCTATCAGGAAAATGTAAATACCTTGCACATCACACTCCCAGTAATATCTTTCTGATAACCGGACTTATCAGCACTTCACTTGGGGGAAGTGTTACTTCAGGACATCCTATTCCCATGGGTAAACAGCCTGAGAGGAAAGGATCCGAGTCCGCATGGCCCTTGTCTATATCTGTTGGAATTCTCTGGAGTGATGTCTGGGGCTAAAAAGGCCCCATGACATGCCTTCTTGCCATCATTATAAGAAACTGAAAGCATTCAGTAATGCACTTTTGTTTTATGCCATCATTGGCCATAATTAGCATATGACATGCTTACTGTCTTCTAAAACAGCATACTTGCTGGAGCAATTTTTATTCAAAAAAGATCCGAATGGTCCAGAGATAGATTATATGAGACCAGTTATTTGCAACGGTTCGACCTTGATTAGGTCATAGAGCCGAAGTTCTCAGTTGCTGTGGGTAAAAGACTCCTATGGGAGCTATCTGTATTTTCAAAGCACTCAGATCATTGGGATGCATCAGGGTTTGCAGTGCATTGCCAGAGAAGCAAAGAGCAGTGCTTTGGGCAGGGATGTTTCAGGTTTCTCGTCTCTGAGGTGTTACATTATGTTAAAATACTTAGGTCTCATTCTGGCTGGCATGACTCAGTGATTGGAGAGTCAGTCCTTGTACCGAAGGATCTCGGGTTTGATTCCTGGTCAGGGGCAAGTATCTGGGTTGCAGGCTTCATCCCTAGCCCCAGTAGGGGCATGTGCGGAAGGCAACCAGTCGTTTTTTGAGAGATATGTCTCTCCCACATTGATGTTTCTCTTTCTTCTCTCTCTCTCTCTCTCCCTCCCTCCCTCCCTTCCTCTCTCTCTCTTCCTCCCCTCCTCCCTTCCACACTCTCTCTGAAAATCTATAGAAAAAATATCCTTGGGAGAGGATTAAAATATATATATATATATTAGTCTTTTAATAGTTAAAGGAGAAATGGGTTACTATCCTCAAAGTCATTTAAAACCTTTTTTGAAGCAAAAGAAACAAAGGAAGAAGGAAAGAGTATTAATGAGGGGAGTGCTAATTGGGATGTTATAGTGACCTTTCTGTGTCTACATGCCTTCAAACTTACCCACTCAACAAACCTGGCTGCCATTCTCTCCTGCCCCTTCTACTAATTAGCCCATGGATGGTTTCTCTGGAACTTTCTGAATGAGACATTGACTCCCAAAACTACACATTGGCCAAGAGGAACCCTCCCAGTAATCCCCATGTCTGTTTTGCTCTCCTAACGTTCTCTCCTAAAGGAGTTTTATCTAAAGGAAATTTCCTAGTGTTTTCTTTGAGGTGGCGACAGCTGTTACCATGTTCATTGGTCTCTTTACGTAAGAAGAGGCCATTTAAATTTTCCTACCATTTCTTATGCCTTTTTGTCCCAGGTCAGACTCAACCTGAGGGGAGTGTTAGGAGTTATCTTGGGGGAAGAGTCATGGATTGTTTAAGAGTTATTATTATTATTATTATTATTAATTTTACAGAGAGGCAAAGAGAAAGAAAGAGATTTGTTGTTCTACTTATTTCTGCATTCACTGGTGATTCTTATATGTTCTGGGAGGGGGGATTGAACCCACAACGTTGGAGTATTGGGACAACACTCTAACCAACTGAGCTACCTGGCCGGGGCCTGTTTATGAGTCTTGAAGATGGAACCTCAGAGCTATTGGTGCCCTCAAAGTTCAAGTATGACCAGTGCTTTCGTTTTATAGAAATGAAGCCGAGCAACAGACACTTTAAGTAACTTGCTGTAGATACACAGCCCATTGGTGGATGCAGGTTTAAGAGTTTTCATTCCATCCAACAGAAGCAGAGAATCACTGATCTCAGCAGATTTTCTAGGGCAGTTCATACCTAGACCCATTCAGCGCCCAACCAAAACTGATGAAAAGGCTCTTCAGTGTTCAGATCACCTGAGAGAATGCAAGTAAAAGTGGGTAGGATGGCTCACCATGCCCATTCCCTCCGCTAGTCACTTAATCATCCCCTCAATCCTGGCTGGTTCTGTACAGATGGCTCCAGGAAGTCTTGAAGAAAACTTTGCAGAGGATGACACTTGAGGAAGGGTTGATGGAATGGGCTGAACTTAAAAAAGGGCGCAAGCTGGGCAGATCCTCAGATACCTTCAGGGCCGGCAAAATCACCACCGGGCCTCTCCTTTCTCCATGTTGATACCGTTTGTCACAAAATCCGAGAGGATTCTAGGTACATTTAGACATTTAGCTCCCAAACAACACATAAGACAAAACTGTATTTTCAAATCATTATTCATCGAAATTGCAAACAAAGCTTCTCAACTAGAAGAGAGTTCTCTGTCGCTTGTTTTTAAGGAGTTTCCATCCGTAAAAGTTCCCCTAGCGGGGTAAATCCCAAAGTGTGTAGACTTGGCTTTATCCTAGCCTCAGAGTAGGCGTAACCTTTTCTTATCAAGATGAATTGAGACAACAAAGCTCCAAGTTGGCTCTGCAATCACTGAGCAACCAGTGCTAACAATCCACGACCAGAATGAGCAGGGGAATGGTCCCTGAGCTTTGCCAGTTCCCTCTTGAGCCTTTTCCCACTGCCTGCAGGATTTGTGCATTTCAGCGGGACCAGAATATAACCTGTGTACAGTTTATAGAGGAGAAACTGAGAGGCAGAGAAGCAGGGCCTAAAGCACTTCTTGCTGCCACCCAGGGTTTAAAGACATGCCCAGATGCCTCCCGTGTTCATGTGTAATGGCTCGGCTCCAAGGACGATTTCATCTTTCCAAATTTTAAGATACCTCTACTCAGACATTTTCTTTTTCTTACTATATTTCCCTAACTACATAAGTGATTTCTATATCTCTATATCTATCTATTTATCTAGATATTTAGGGATATAGAGATATAGATATTTGTTTTTGTTAAAAATTAAAATATGGCTCAGTTGGAGCATCATCCTGTACACCGAAAGGTTACAGGTTCCATTCCCTGTCAGGGCACATACCTAGGTTTCGGGTTCAATATCCAGTCAGGGTGTGTATGGGAGGCAGCCAATCGATATTTCTCTCTCACATCGATGTCTCTTTCTCTCTCTCTCCCTTTCTCTAAGGTCAATGAACATATCCTTGGGTGAGGATTACAAACAAAACTTTTAAGTATCAGAAGGTTGCTTAATTACAACCTTACTGAGTGTTGATTTGGTACTTGATTTCCCCTCCCCACCTCAAAAATAAGTTTTAGAGATTGTCTTCTACCAGCACAAACAAATCTATCTCATTATTTTAAACAACTTCATAGATTTATTTCCATGTGTGGATATACCATTGCCTATTTAACCATTCTCATATTTAGGGCATATAAGCTGTTTTTTCCCAAATGGTCACTTTCATGTGCTACATTCAAAGGCACCCGATAGCACATAAAATGTTACTGTTATTAATACTCCTTGTCCTTAGAACACCTATCTAGACACTGAAAGGAAGGCCTCCAAGGCCTGGAGCCAGATTCTCACTTAGAAGACACCTTGTTCCGCTGTTGTACTTTCAATTGCTCATTTTGCCATCCCTCTTAATAGCCTTCCCAGGCCCAGCTGCCACTCACCCTCCTTGGCTCGGAGAAGTCGCTGACTTCGCCTGACTAGGAATGCAAGTATCTTACGGCCAAGCCCCGGTTCAGTTACACACTCGAAAGTGCCAAAGGGAGGTCACCAAGTGAAGCAAACAAGGTTCAAGGTTGTTTCCCCTCCCCTGCCAACCGGAATGGAATCACCTGTACTAGTTCAAAGGCCAAAAGCACTGAGCCATTCTGAGCAGGATTGTGGTGTCAGCTTTCATCCCTTCTTAAAGTAGAGTCAAAATTACAGTCCTCTTCTTCTCAGGGCTCTGAGAAGAAGATGCACGCACACAACTGTGAGCAACACAGGACAAGTTCTTTCTGCGGTTATCAGCGGCCTTCAACATTAGAGACAGGCAAAGGCTGTGGAGGTCTTACCAGACCTTACAGCAGGTGCCTTGTTCCAGGAACTAAGGTGTTCCAACTCCGATTCTGCCACACGTGCAAACCCCTGTCAGCCAACACGACCACATGGCTGTTCTGTAAACTCAGCCAAGACAGCCTCTGGTCAGGTAGGCCCTCGGGCAGTGTTCGGGATAAAAGGTTCACTTCCAGATAAAGGAAACCACGTTCTAGCAGCAGATTTCAGCCCATTTCCTAGTCTATTATGTGTTAGGCATTTTCTTTTATATATATATATATATATATATATTTTATTGATTTCTTACAGAGAGGAAGGGAGAGGGATAGAGAGTTAGAAACATCGATGAGCGAGAAACATCGATCAGCTGCCTCCTGCACATCTCCCACTGGGGATGTGTCCGCAACCCAGGTACATGCCCTTGACCGGAATCGAACCTGGGACCTTTCAGTCCGCAGGCCGATGCTCTATCCACTGAGCCAAACCGGTTTCGGCATGTGTTAGGCATTTTCTAACACCAAGAGACAAACTGCCCTGCCAGAGAAGGCGGCAGTTGTATATGTATGAAGTTGTGAAGAATCAAGGGCATGGGATTTTAATCCTGGCTCTGCCCTGTGTCTAGCTGAGCAAGTTCCTTCACCCCTTAGAGTCTCAGATCCTCACGTTACAAGGACA